CCTCTTCCTCTCCTCTTCCTCTCCTCTTCCTCTCCTCTTCCTCTCCTCTTCCTCTGCTCTTCTTTTCTTCTTCCTCTCCTGGAAAGTCGACCGCGGAAACGTAGTACGCCGCGGACGCCCGGAGCTGCCGTGGCTGGAAAGTCTACTTTTTGTAGTACAAATGTAGTACGCCGCGGACGCCCGGAGCTGCCGTAGCTGGAAAGTCGACTTTTTGTAGTACAAACGTAGTACGCCGCGGACGCCAGGAGCTGCCGTAGCTGGAAAGTCGACTTTTTGTTGTACAAACGTAGTACTTGTGGTACAAACGTAGTACGCCGCGGACGCCCGGAGCTGCTGTGGCTGGAAAGTCGACTTTTTGTAGTATACAAACGTAGTACGCCGCGGACGCCCGGAGCTGCCGTAGCTGGAAAGTCGACTTTTTGTAGTACAAACGTAGTACGCCGCGGACGCCCGGAGCTGCCGTAGCTGGAAAGTCGCTCTAGGGCTTCGAAAACGTCGCAAATACCGTGGGCGCGGAACTCTGGGGCTTCGAAAACCTAGCAAATACCGTGGGCGCGGAACTCCGGGGCTTCGAAAACCTCGCAAACACCGTGGGCGCGGGCGCGAAACTCTGGGGCTTCGAAAACCTCACAAACACCGTGGGCGCGGAACTCTGGAGCTTCGAAAACCTCGCAAATACCGTGGGCGCGGAACTCTGGGGCTTCGACAACGTCCAAAATCCGTGGGCGCGGAACTCATGGGGCTTCGAAAACGTCGCAAACACCGTGGGCGCGGAACTCTGGGGCTTCGAAAACCTCGCAAATACCGTGGGCGCGGAACTCCGGGGCTTCGAAAACCTCACAAACACCGTGGGCGCGGAACTCTGGAGCTTCGAAAACCTCGCAAATACCGTGGGCGCGGAACTCTGGGGCTTCGAAAACCTCGCAAATACCGTGGGTGCGGAACTCTGGGGCTTCGAAAACCTCGCAAACACCGTGGGCGCGGAACTCTGGAGCTTCGAAAACGTCGCAAATACCGTGGGCGCGGAACTCTGGGGCTTCGAAAACCTCACAAATACCGTGGGCGCGGAACTCTGGAGCTTCGAAATCCTCGCAAATACCGTGGCCGCGGAACTCTGGGGCTTCCAAAACCTCACAAACACCGTGGGCGCGGAACTCTGGAGCTTCGAAAACCTCGCAAATACCGTGGGCGCGGAACTCTGGGGCTTCGACAACGTCCAAAATCCGTGGGCGCGGAACTCATGGGGCTTCGAAAACGTCGCAAATACCGTGGGCGCGGAACTCTGGGGCTTCGAAAACCTGCAAATACCGTGGGCGCGGAACTCCGGGGCTTCGAAAACCTCGCAAACACCGTGGGCGCGGAACTCTGGAGCTTCGAAAACGGCGCAGCAAATAGCGCGACGGCTCTCGTGTGGGCGCGCAATCATTGCGGATGACATCTTGTCCTGCGCTCATGCAGAGCTATGCTTTGATCTGTTCACAACATGGCAGCAGGCGCCTCAGGCCATGTGGGACTTTTGCATGCTGGCATGTGTACGTGGTATCACCCCATTGCCGTCATCGCGCTACCATCGCCTCAGCTATACACGGCCTCTCTACACTGCCTATTCTATTCCATCTTCTTTGCGTTTCGCGTCCTTTTCGCTGTCGACGCGACACCTGCTTCCTATCCTACTACGCCACACCACGATCACCGCACTGACAACACAACCAACTCTACGTGTCAGTTGATATCTTCGCACTGATTGCTTTCGGGATAATCGGTGTCTAGTTTACTGGGCAAGGTCACTTTTTTTACTGGGCAAGGTCGTTCCACAAGTGAAATATGTTCTTGACGTTGTTGGGATTCTTTGGGCGGGTGGGTATTTTCCTGGACTAATTTCTTGACTAGTGAATGCTTGGACTTGAGATGCTGAACCCTAAACCCTAAACCCGAAACCCTAAACCCTAGACCCTACACCGAGTAGAAGCGAGGCCAAGCTACCAGCAAACGGGTCCGTCGCCGAACGCCGCTGTCGGCCTCAAAACGGGCCCAGGGATTTTAGGGTTCTTAAGGGAGGGAACCTTGGGTTACATGAAGCAGGGTATGTATTTCTTGTACCCCCAAAAGGACACCGGGTATATAGACTCACCAATATTAAGAGTGACTCTTATATACACTCACCAAAAACAGTAATATTAACCCTGTGTCACATGCCCTCCTTGAACTCCCCTCCCTTGGGAACCCTATAAAGGGATTGCCCTCCAGCGCACAGCCGAGAACCCAGGGTTTATGGTTGGGAGTTTAGGATTCTAAACATGCTAACAACCCTGAAGCCCTCAAACCCTAAAAACCCTAAAAACCCTAAAAACCCTAAAACACCCTTAAAAAAAACCCTAAAAAACCCTAAAAACCCTAAACACCCTAAAGCCCATGAACCCTAAAACCCCCCCCCCCCCCCCCACGACCGAAAGGATCGCTGAGGCCTTGGCGCTCTGCTAAGGCCTTGGCCCTGTCTTGCAGCAGAAGGACCTGTCAGAAATCCGGGGGATTTAGGGTGTGGCAGTACGAAGCAGCACTTCATACCAGGTTGGGGCCTACGGCCTTTTCAGGGGGGCCAGCGGCTCACAGCTTTGGCGAGGCAAGCACCGCGGCAGATGCAGAGCTGAGCCTTGAAAACGACTCCCCGAACTGAAGCCAGGAAGTTGGGTTTGAGCGCAAACCCTTCACTTTTCGCTACATCGGCCCACCACGCCCGAACCAAGCAGCCCCCTAAGTTCCCCAACCTCTCACAGCATTCCATAGTTGCACCACTAAGCCCAAATTCGATACCACAGCGCCTTCGACCCTAAACCCTGATGGCAGCAATGTGCCACCAAAGTCATCCTGCTGTGAACCCCGGCCTCGTCTTCCAACCTTGCAAGACACATTCAGGGTTAAGGGTTTGGGATTTAAGGTTTAGGGTTTGGGGTTCAAAGTTTAGGGTTTAGAGTTCCACGTTAGGGCTCGGTCTTGCGGGTACTTGTTTTCCGGGACCCACAACGAACCCCGCATGTAGAATTGTAGAATTTACCAGGAAGGCAATGAGACCAGGATTTTCTTCGTTCAGCACCTTTTGAAGTTAAGGCCGGCGAAACAGACTGCAGCGACCTGCACCATGTAGAGCCCTACGACCTGGCAATGAGGTCCCTCTGGGCCCTCTCATGTCCTCGAAAAAAAAGCCTGAAAGCCGAAAGCCCAGAACTCTCCCTAGAACCTCGTGTACACTTCTCTAAGTTACGGTCCCTCCTAAGGCTCCTCTTATTCGCCTCGGCTTCCTGCCCGAGAAGCGTCTGGAACAAGCAGACCCGGATCGGGCCTCCTTCCCACCCTCCCCCCATGCAAAATTTTCTGACGCCACCCCCCCCCCCCCCCCCCCCGCCCTGTGGGACCCCCCCCAATCGCTTGGAGGAGCTGCAAACCGACGCTGTGGGGGTCGGTGGCTTCTACAGGGAAAGTGCCTCAAACCCCCCCCCACACCCCTCCACCCCCCCCCCCCCCCCACCCCCCCCTTTAACCCCGCCTTTTTTTGCGAAACCCTCTTTCCTCTTTTCCTGGTTGGGGCCGGCCCGGCGCGGCGCGCGCAAGCGTTTACAATTTTTATCACATGGAGCAGTGCATCTAGGTAGGGTACCCCTATCGACCCAAAGACCAAAAATGCCACAAAACACCTCCCAAAATAAAAATAAAAATAAACCCTACGCCCCCCCCCCCCCCCCCCAACAAAAAAAGAACCTTCAACTGCAACGATTTGACCCGAGCCGCGACTTGAGCTGCTTGGCGTGCAGCGCGCACTGGTCCTGTATCATGTCCTCCAGCATCTTCACCTGGATGTACAACTGTTTGCTTAAGAACCCCCAAAAACAAAAACTGGGTGGCTTCGGCCGGAGGTTTTCTCGATGAAGGCACTTGCATGAGCAAGCTTGCTGCCGTGCTTCGTAACCGTGTTAATGTGCAGAAGTGGGTTGAAGGAGCTGAGGGTTTCGTTTAGAGACAGACAATGGGTTTAGGTTGTGCGGCGTAGAAGACGTCCAATAACATGGCAGGAGCCTCCACATCCACATCCTCCATTGTGGAGACTCCCCGAGGCGTCAGGAGGCTGAGATCCTAAGACCTCGTGCTCTGCAGTGCGAAGCTTGTGGTGTTCGTGGGTGGAGTTGGCTCTGCGAGTAGAGTCTACGAAGATGTTCGACTGCACTTCAAAGGCACGTGCTTCCATGCCTACCACGGAACGAAAAGTGCACGATGCCATTGTGACTGGGGCTGTGCGCTCGCTGCGGGGTGGGTATCTGACACACTCCACGTGTACAAAGGCAGTCAGCCGAAAGCGTGTTCAGGACTGACGTGTTGTTTGAGGCTGCGTGCTGGTCTCATGTCACGTGGGCGCATGGACATATCTGAAGCACATGGAGCTCAAACTGCTGCAGAAGGCGGCTCGTAGTGAGGAACGGTCACTGCACGCAGTGAATACGCGTCGATGTATGCACGTTTACGAAAAGTCTCGTCAACTTGCCCCTAATGCGATGCCAAACCCACATATTTCTAGCAGTTACAGGCAAACAGGCAGAATCACAGACGATTTTCGCACAGAGCGGCAGCTCCGGTGCAGGATGTCCCTCACCAGGCCTCGAACGATGCACAGCCAGGAAGTCTGAGCTTTCGGGCGAAGGAGAGAAAGGTGCTATTCCTTACCACTGTGACTACTTCTATTGCGATTGCCACTATTCTTACGCTTCGAAATATGAGGCTGATCACCAGAACTTGGGATGTTCAGGACTTAGGGTGTTGGGTCTTAGCGGTGTCACCGTCCGCGACTTAGAGCTATGGGGATGCTCTGGGGCTTAGGAAATCCCTAAACCCTAAACATCCCCGAAGCCCTAAACCTAAACCAGAGGGTTCAGGCTTAGGTTCAGGGTACAGTTTTAGCGGCCTAACTGTCTAGGGTTCGGATGTTCAGGGTTTTTTTCTTTTGAAGCTCCTGCTTAAGATGCTGCGCAAACCTGGTTGAAGAGGACTTGAGCCAGCATCTTGCTGATGTATCCTGCGCCCCCTTGCCATGCCAAGCGGTATGGCAGCTGGTCTTCCAGCTCTGCGAGGGCAGCAATTTCTGACCGATCCCCGACAGGGCAGCAGCTGGAGTGGAAATGTATGCCGCCAGCAAGGCCCCCCCGATGATCCCACCAATTCACCTGCAGCAACGCCGCGGAAGTCAAGGAGAAGGCGTCCACAAACTCCCACGTGTGGCGCCGGCACGCCTCCAATGCTAACCTGTCCATGCGCCATTTGTACAACTGCGTTTGGGTTGTGACGTTCGCCCATGCTAAGCCACTTTGTGCTGAACAGGACAACCAGAGGATCCTCTTCCCAGAGGCATGTTTTCGGAACAGCCCAGCAAGCCGCTTCAGGTTGGCCTCATATTTCGACAGCAGCTTGGGCTTCGAAAAGCCTCGATTGCAGAGATCGTGGTCGCATGAGTGCACAATGATCACATCAGCACCCTTCAGCTGTGCCGCAAACTTACCGGCAGCCTTGCGATCCGCCAAGTTGCCCAAGCCTGCACACCTCGGGCTGCGAAGGTAGCTGGTGTCAGGCGTCGAAATCGTCTTGCGACCCCCGAAGGAAACATGGTGGCGGTCGGGTGTTGGATCTCGCCCGCGGCAGAGGTGGCTCGTCCATGAGCCATGAACCCCACCCCTGCCAGGCATGTATTTCTCGTGGTACTTGCAGACATCACTGTAGTTGGATGGATTCTTGAAAGGCTTCTCCTGACCCCACATTGCTATGGCGTCGGTGAGGAGGCCCATGGTTGTAGAGTCGCCAAGCATGAGAACCTTTCGATTGCCCAGACACCTTTGCATGGTGGGCCCATCGCGCACCGGATAGTAACAATTGCTCTCCACGTACACGTGATGAAAAGCAGCATCCGGCCGCAACAAATCCAGATTGCCACAGCCCATTTCTCCCACGCCAGCACAGCTAGGGCAGCTCGGGCACATAGCCCCTCCCAGACGAAGCCAGAATCCGCCCACCCGGCGCATCACACTCAGGGACTGGCGGCCACACGGCTTCAGGGAGGCGAGCGCGGATTTCCTAGGGCTGGGGCCAACCCGAAGGACTCGAATCCTGAAGCCAGTCCTGGAAGCCCGCAACTCTGAAACTCAAAAACCCCGAAACATCCCGAAACCCTAAACCAACCTGAACCCTGGCCCTGAAACCCCGAAACCAACCAGGGTCCAGTTTCCAGGCCGCCGGCTGCAGGGACTCCCAATGAAGTTCCAGAGGTGTCCCAAGAACGGGGATCTGGGCGCTAAGGTGTGTGTACCTTGGCATTCGACGGTTCGGAGTTCGGCCCCATAAGACCCCAAAGCCCTACACCTATGAGGGCTTAGGGAGTTAGGGATGTGCATAGTGTTCTTACGGGGAGGAGTTGGAGGGTTGTACGGTATCCTTAATACCCTTGTAGGGATGAACATTACATTTTTTATGTTCGGGTTCTTGAGCAAGCAGTAGCAAGCTGCAGGTGGCGCAAGTCGGGGCGAGCACTCTGGTAGTACTCCTCGAGGAGATCGAAGGAGTCCAAGCTTTGCCAGGTGCCGGCCGTGTCAGCTCTGGGAAATTCATCACGCGGAGCCAAGATTCCATACACCGACCGGTTTAAAACTTGGTGCAGGAAGATGCTTAGGTTGTAGGCGCCAGTGGGCAAAAGCGTGTCTGTAGACATGAGGAGTGCGTAGGAGCCATTTCCGAAGTCATGGACCACGGGCTGAGCCACGGCCCTGGGCCCATCCAGAAATGCCAAAAAAACGTCCCCCCCACTTTGGTGACATCTTTTCGCTGCACAGCAGCCCCTGAGAAGACCCAGCTGTTTCCAGAGAGCCATGTGCCCGGATGCCTCGAGGCGTATCTGAGACTGGGGGGCATAGGCCGCGAAGGTGCTGTAGCGCTCGGTCGTCAGCTCTTGATCTCGGCACACCTCGAATGCCGGGCCCACCTTTGGGATCCTCTCGGGCGAACTTGGCCTTGGGCTCGGCTCAAGCGAAGGCGTAGGGGTCTCCAAGCTCCCAAGAGTTTCGGGAGTTTGGCTTTGGATTCTTGGGTCTACGGAGAACGCGGCAGGGAAGATGTGCACAGAAGCCACGAGCACAAGGACGCTCGCTATCAACCGTTTCGCGGAGCACTCGGGCGAATAACCGAGGCAAGGAGACATTCGCACATGGGCACATGGCTTGAGGGCTGAGGGTTGATGTAGGGTGGAGGGTTGATGTACGGTGGAGGGCTATACAACAGCATCTCTACGACGGAAAACACCGCAAACCAAAAACCGTGGCTGCTTGATTGCTCGCTCGCGCAGTCGGCCTCACAGCGTAGAAACAAATGGCACAGCAGACTTTGACAGTTCATGAATCACGCACTCCATACAAAAGCCTGGCGGACTGAGCACACTATCCTGGCTCGCTCCTGATTCCCACCCCAACGCCGACATCCGTGAAGCGGCATGATTGATATATGTGTTTTTGAAGGCACTTTATTTGATGGACACACAGACAGGCATGCAAACAGACACAAAGGATACGTTTTTGTTGTGAATGTACCTATATCTATCTATCTATCTATCTATCTATCTATCTATCTATCTATCTACATATACATATACATAAAATATCTATATGCGTATGTGTCTGTATGAACAGAGAAGAGCATACGTATATGTGAACTGATTTACGCATGAATGGGCCACACAGAGATTCAAGGGTCGCCGTTGGATTTGGACCGGCCTTTAGTTTGTCTCTTTGCTGCCCCTGTTTGCAGAGGTTCTCAGAGACTTTGGTAGCGCTACGCTCAAAGGAAGCAGGTACATACAGCAGAAACCTACAGGAAACACCCCAAAAGGTTGATGAATACACTTTCGTAAGGGGCAGTATCCTTTCTGTAGCTATCAGACCCGACAGCTGCTGGAAAACCCTCGGGTTTTTTGCCCATCCCGGCCTTCTTGCCACGGTTTCGGTACCCTCCTGCGGCTCGCCATACCAGTATCTCCAGAGCTCGGGGACCAGATGAACCCGAAAAACCTCAGGGTTCCCTTTGCCTTTCTGGCGATTCTCTGGGATGTCTCCAGTCGAGCTAGACGCACTGTTTCGACAGAGGGGTATGTGTATGATCTCAGTCCTGATCCTCGCGGCGCAGACCAGGTGTCTGCCTCCGGATGCGAGCAGGGTTTAGGGCTTAGGGTTTAGGGGTTTGGGGTTTAGGGTTTAGGGCAGGGTTTAGGGTTTGGGGTTTGGGGTTTAGGGTTTAGGCTTTAGGGGGACTATCAAAACGGTGTGCATAGGGGAAAAACCCTCAACAACCAGTGGTGGGCGGGGGCGGAGGGGTTGAGGGGTCAACCGATGGTAATCATTAAACAAACGAGATTGCGTTCTTAGATTGGTACTAACTAACCACCAAGGAAGATCACCTAAATCATCATTGGAATCTGAATATGATTTAAGGAGAATTCCTTAAGGGGGCCTTCAAGTTCTGGGACCCGAAACGCGAAACCCGAAACCCGAAACCCAAACCCTAGTTTTTGGGGTTTTTGAATGTTCTGGGAGATTTTGCTGCAAAGCCGTGAGCCTGGGTGTACCCTTGCCAGCTGCTGTCCCAGCCCTGGGCGTCAGGGTGGTTGCTTTCAACCATCTGGCCACTGAGGGGCCTAAACCGTAAAACCTAAACTAAAAAAAACCCAACCCCTAAACCTTGAATCAAGACAGTTAAGGACCCTCACCTACAGAAAAGACTAAAACAAACCTGAGCCACACCTTGGACTTTAGATGAAGGGATCCCGAAACTACGGTGTATTGCCTTCATTAGGCATGACAACAGCATAGGTTTCAGGTTGAGGGTTTGGGCTTTGGGTATGTTAATGCACAAATTTACGGGGCCCCCAAGGAAGGGGTGCAGAGCAGATTTAGGGTTTAGGGTTTAGGGTTAGGGTTTAGGGTTTAGGGTTTAGGGTTTAGGGTTTAGGGTTTAGGGTTTAGGGTTTAGGGTTTAGGGTTTAGGGTTTAGGGTTTAGGGTTTAGGGTTTAGGTTTAAGGGTTTAGGGTTTAGGGTTTAGGGTTTAGGGTTTAGGGTTTAGGGTTTAGGGTTTAGGGTTTAGGGTTTAGGGTTTAGGGTTTAGGGTTTAGCGTAGGCTTGGGGGAGCAGACTCGCGCAGCGGATCAGGGCCCGGCCTGCCATGACTCCCAAGCAGAATCTGGCCACCATTCCGTGCCCTGAAAAGGGGAGACCGGGACCTAAACCCTAAACCCTACACCCTACACCCGAAACCCTTTAAACCCTTTAAACCCTTTAAACCCTTTAAACCCTTTAAACCCTTTAAACCCTTTAAACCCTTTAAACCCTTTAAACCCTTTAAACCCTTTAAACCCTTTAAACCCTTTAAACCCTTTAAACCCTTTAAACCCTTTAAACCCTTACCCTCCCACCTGAGAAGTGCGGGATGCATTTAGGGCGGATCTGAAACCTAGGAACCGCGGGGTTTGTGCGTGAGGAAGGCTTTCGCGGCCTCGAAATCTGGACAGAAACGCTCGGTCCCGACGAACGGTGCACTTTAATCCAACATCCGTCTGCGTTTACAAAAAGGAACTCGTTGCAGCGCACCTCTGCGGACGGAAAGGGAGTTGACCGAGTTGACCCTCGCGGCAGTCGGAAGGTTAGAAAGTCTACCCGGCGCCAACATGCTGGAGCTTCTAAAGTGTTCGCAGAGCTTCGGGGTCAGGAAAGGCTGCAGTCATGCCAAAACAAAATCCTGTTCATTTCTACTCAGGGATCAATGCTGAACAACCTTCGTGGGTGAGTGCCGCTGGTCTGGGCCTTGCCCCTTGCCTCTTTGCTCTGCCCCTCGCAGGAGACTCAGCAACTGCTTGCCAGCGCTGTTGCTGCTGTCCTGCTTAGACAAGACAAGGTTGGGCCTAGGGCCCTCTCCGTCGTCCGAACAAACGGGCCTGTTGCCACTCTGCTTGATGCATGGACTGTCTCAAATCTCGAGGCCCAAAGGGATCCCGAAGATGGTCAGTTTCATTTGAAGCATTCGGACAGCCTGTCGAAGTTTACCTAAGGGAACATCCACACATACCCACACCATGTCAGCCCTGGAACTGCAATGCTGTCTTGCTAACCCCACCTGGGCTTGCCCTTGCTGGGCCATAGAACAGCCTTGGCTTCGGGACAACGGCACAGCGCCGACACGTCGGGGCCAGTACAACAAGTTGGGGACAAAATGTTGAGTCGGGAGATGGAGCAGAACCCGTGCTTCGCGATGATTGCGGGCTCCATCGCACTTTTAGGGTTTTAGGGTTTAGGGTTTAGCTGATACAAGCAGTCGCTTTGAGACGCTGGCGGGGTATTGAGCTGGTGGCACAGGTGCTCGTTGTGTACTTACTTGTTAACCGCCTTCCCACGGCGCTTGAATGTTGCGCTTGACAAGCAAAGGCCAGATGAGATCAGAAGCGAAAGGGGGGGGTGAGGGGGGCACAACAGGTCACTCCCAAGAATCACGAGGCGCAGAAACTTGCTGGCAAAGGGACCAAGCATCAACCGCTCGGCAGCCGTTGCAGCCTCATTTGGCAGCATGTTCTGAAACTTTGGTTTCGGGTTCGCTGCGCGTGAGGCTTGTCTTTCTTGGGTGGAACTGCCAGAAATAAACCACACAGAAATGCATCCAAAACCCAAATGCCCAAGCACCTCATCCTAAGAATCAAGGACTTCATCAACCCGAAGGTCAATATCGGGGCTTTCATAAGTAGAATAGGGTTTTGGGGGTGACGAGAATATCATAGTATAGGGGCCATTAGGGAGTACTATTCGTAATTATTCTGACCCCTACATTTGGAGGTCCCCAAGGCCCGAAACACTCACCATCATATTGCTTCTAATTTGTAGCATCTGGAGGTTGTGTGCACGCTACTTTGCGTTTCGACTTGGGACATTCTTCAAAATCGGCTCCGCTTAGAGCTCCCGTTCTTTGCAAAACAAGTCTCGCGGAAAGAGCCCTGGTGGAAAGAAAACGACATTGCCAGTACTATGACGACGACCACTTCATCCCACCTTTCTACTGCACTTCTACTCGGACGCTTGCTACTGCTGCTGCTGCAACGGCTGCCGCCACCGCCGCCGCTGCTACTCATGCTACTACGACTGCTACTGCTACTTACTGCTACTGCTGCTACTGCTCGTGACCACTGCTACTACTGCCACTTCTGCGACTCATGCTACTACTGCTCCTGCTACTGCTATTGCATCACCAAGGTGCACGGCCACTTGGCTCCGCAAGGTCTTCCTCTCTGACGACGTGCATGGGCTTTAGGGAACTCTGGGCATAGGGGTTTTGGGGTTTCCGGGTTCCGGCGCACGCTTGACGATCAGACATGCAGCGGCCAACATCAACGTCAAGTCTTTCCCAGAGCCTTGTTGCGCTTGGAGGCATCTGCCTGCGCCTGAGCTCCAGAACCCATCTTCTGACAAGATGAGACATGTTCAGGACGCGAGTCCATTCTCAAAATGATGCTTTGAAAACAGGCAGCCGACCAAAAAAACAGGTCAGGGCACGCTTCGACTCCTAGTGGGCCATCCAGAACACACACACACACACACACACACACACACTGCATTGAAGTAGTGCTGAATTATTGCTTCAAGTATCCGCCAAAAGGAACCTAAGTACTGGTACTTAAATGCTTGTAATTACTCGGTTGGCCCTATTAAACCCTCCATTCCTAAATATGATCCTCTTCAACTCGATAAGGGAAATACAAAGAGTTCATTTGGTTCGACCTAGTACCTCGGTCATGTGGGGCGTTTGGGCGTGAGCCCCCCCCCCCCTCAAATCAGGTACTACATACCAAGCGAAACATACCCAAACGTAACGCCATAATGTAGTGGTGTTGGGTTCGAGTTTATCAGGCAGAAACCCCGCAACAGTGGTCAATCTCGGCTGAGCTCCCCGCAGCCTGAATGGCTGCTGAAGGGGCTCTTGGAGGCAAGGCCTACGAGCATTGGGGCTGCTGGGTTGAGGGCGCAGGGGGCTTCAGAAACCTCTACACCAACAGCCGAGAGGCCTTGCGTAGCCAAAACCCGAACCTTAAACCCGAAAGCCCTACGACCCCAAGCCTAAAGCAAACGTATGAGCCATGGCGGCTAAAGTCCCTATATGGGGCCGTCGGGCAG